TGTTAATCATTTGTTATCCAAAATAAAAGAATCATCAAATTAAGATAACTTTGTGTTTGAATTATTAATGAAATAATTAATTCTTATACCTGTCGATAGTAAATTTCAATATTTTCAAAAAACATTGAACGATAGACCTCTCTCAACACTTTGACGATTAATTTGTTTCTAACAAAAGCAATTTGTGATARAAACACGTTAAAGAAATCGTTCTTCGAAACGAAAGAGATACGTTAGAATGATGACGAATAATTATCCTTGTTTTTGAAGTAGACTTCTCCTATTTATACTCTTTCAAAGAGTTATAAGCTGATGGTATTTCACATTTTTTTATTAGGCTTAAATACGTAATGGTAATCAACTCCAAGAATTTATAATTTCTGACATATATACATACATACATATATACATGTATATATAATCAGAAAACGTATGATGTATTTAATTCGAACTTCGTTCACTTGCAAAAAGTATTCTCACAATATGCATGTATTTTATATTCTTATTAAGAGACAGGAATAAATTCGTAAGTACAATTCAAATCAGGTTTCCCTATTTATTGTTAATATACATTACTTTATTATATTATATTTCATGCAACTTTGTAAGTTAACAAATATGCAAATGCAGAAACGTATAAATCAATGTATATGGTATATTATACTATTCGTAAATTATACACAAAAAAGTGGTTACAATATTTTTCTAAAGTGATCATTATTATTCGGTAAAATATAAAATAAAACGTATTTGTTATTTGTTCTTCTTCTTTTTTCTTTTTCAATGTACCACAGGCTTACACATACCATTGTCGTCTCGTTTTTCTCCTATTCCACATCCTATAGGTTTTGTATTTATGATGGTTTCGATGACAGATTTAAATAGATCTTCATATCCAGCTGGATATCCACTCTTCCCTGAATATCCATCTCCACCTTCTAAGTTAGTAGAATTTGTAGGTATCATCATTGGAGTTTCTCTTTTAAAATTTGCTTTTTCCATGTATGAAGTTTTATTCGGCTCAGTGTCTTTTTCAGAATATGTACCTCTTTTATGTATACGTATGTCAAATTTAGGTTGCAATAACACAATAGGTTTGCTCATAACAAATTCTATCAATGATAAATGAATGAGCATAATTGCGAGAAAACTTAACCGGAAAGATTTCATCCTGCTTGAATAAAATATATATATTTGTATGTAATTTTTGTTATATTCTTACATTAGAAACGCATTATAAAT